AGGGACAGCACCCAGGTAAGCCCCAGAACTCGTACAAAAAATAAATAAATAAGCTGAACACTAGTGGCTTACTCCTGTAATCCTAGCTACACACTAGGCTGAGTTATGAGGATCACTGCTCAAAGCTAGCTCAGTCAGAAAAGTCTGAGAGACTCTAATCTCCAATAAACCACTCAGAAAACTGGAAGTAGTACAGCTTTAGCCTTGAGCTGAAAAGCTCAGGGACAGCCCCCAGGCCCAGAGTTCAAGCCCTATGACTGACAAAATAAATAAATAAAATTAAATAAATAAAAGAATAAAAGAAATAAGAGCACAAAGACCTAAATTCAAGCCACAGCATACACCAGAAACAAGTGATAAATGATGGATTTGAGTGTTAGATTGATCTGATCATTACTCATTGAATACCGTATATGTGTTGAAATGTCTGTTAAAAAATATCCTTTGAATATAGACAATTAGTATTTATGGGTTGAAAACAAAATATACAGTGTTTTATGGGGGGGGGGGGTAATGGATGAGTCTTGGGACTTGAACTCAGGGCATGGGGTCTGTTCTAAGCTTTTATTTTGTTTTGGTCAGCTATGGGGCCTGAACTCTGGGTGCTGTCCCTCAGCTCTTCAGCTCAAGACTAGTGCTGTACCTCTTGAGGCACAGCACCACTTCCAGTTTTCTGAGTGGTTTATTGGAGATAAGATTTTCCTGGGCTTTCCTGCCCGGGCTAGCTTTGCAAATCTCAGCCTCGTGATTAGCTTAGATTTTAAGCTACCAGCTGATTTTAAGTACCCAGCTGTTCTAAACATTTTTGCTAAAGGCTAGCACTCTACCACTTGAGTCACAGCTCCACTTCCAGCTATTTGCTGGTTAATTGGAGATCAGATGCTCATAGACTTTCCTGCCTGGGCTGGCTTCCAGTCACTCTCCTCAGCTTCCTGAGCAGGTAGTATTGCAGTCATGAGCCACAGTGCCTGGCTATCATACCCCGCTTCTTACATTGTTATGTTACACTGAAAGACTTATATTTAAAAACTAAACATGGCTTACCATTTTTTGCTATTTAAGAGTCTTCTTGGGCTGAGAATGTGGCTTAGTGGTAAAGTGCTTGCTTTGTATGCTTGAAGCCCTGGGTTTGATTCCTCAGTACCACATGAACACAAAAATCCAGAAGTGGTGCTGTGGCTCAAGTGGTAGAGTGCTAGCCTTGAGCAGAAAAAGCTCAGAGACAGTGCCAAGTCCCAAAGTCAAAGCCCCAGGAATGGCGAAAAAGAAAAAAAGAAAGTCTTCTTTTGGGTTGGGAATGTGGCATAGCGGTAGAGTGTTTGCCTAGCATGTACAAGGCCCTGGGTTCAATTCCTCAACACCACATAAACAGAAAAAGCTAGAAGTGGCAGTGTGGCCCAAGTGGTAGAGTGATAGCCTTGAAAAAAAAAAAAAAAAAGAAGCATCAGGAACAGTGCTCAGGCTGTTAGTTTAAGCCCCAGGATGGCAAAAAAAACAAAAGAGTGTTCTTTTATATTCCTTGGTCACTGTTATACATCTCTATAGAAATGGAAGGGAAGGACTTGGACATCGAAAAGCCCGTTTCACTGTGAAAAAGTAACCTTACAATGGCCAGGATAGCTCTGCTGGGCTGTGGTGATCTCAGCCGCTTGTCAGGACTACATCTGTTACTAGCTCCTTTCCAGTGCCCCGTGGGTCTTCGGGCTCAGCTTCATTTCACCCTTCAGGAGTGGAACTGTTCCAGGCACACAACCTCAGCCTAGGGACCTGAGACTTCCCAATGGCACAGCGCTGAGTGCCATGGCTCACACCTATGATCCCAGCACTGGGGAGGCTGAGGCAGGAGGCGGCAGTGTCCAGGCTACCTTAGGCTCCGTAGCTAACTTTGTCTCCATTTAACAAAAAATGAAAACGAAAGAAGGACCTGAAACCTTGAAGTTACATCAAGAGGGAATAGGAAAGACACTAGAACTTATAGACATAGACAGAAAGTTTTAGAAGAGTCCAAAGGGAAGAGCAGGAAGGAGATTAACTTGACCAATGAGTATGCATTAAACTAAGACAGGCACCCGTGGCTCACGCCTGTAATCCTAGCTACTCAAGAGGCTGAGATCTGAGGATCACAGTTCAAAGCCAGCTCGGGCAGAAAAGTCCATGAGACTCTTATCTCCAGTAAACCACTAGAAAACCAGAACTGGCCTTAGTGACTCAAGCAGTAGATCCCTCTTCTTGAGCTGAAGAGCTCAGGGACAGCGCCCAGGCCCAGAGTTCAGGCCCCACAACTGACAAAAAAAAAAAAAGAATGCATTAAACTAAAAAGTTTCTGCACAGCAAAGGACATAGTTAAACTAAGAAGACAGCCAGCAGACTGGGAGAAGATCTTTACCAGCAATACATATGTCAAAGGTCTAATGTACAATATATGTAAGGATCTCAAGAAAATAATCCATTCATCCCTTGACTAGGATGGTGGCTTAGTGGTAGAGCACTTGCCTAGCATGCATGTAGCCCTGGGTTCCATTGCTCAGTAGCACAAACACAGAAAAAAACCAGAAGTAGCATTGGGACTCAAGTGGTAAAGTGCTAGCCTTGAGCAAAAGAAGCCTAGGGATAAGATGTGGTGCTGTGGCTCAAGTGGTAGAGTGCTAGCCTTGAGATGAAGAGCTCAGGAACAGTGCTCAGGCCCAGAGTTCAAGCCCCACAACTGACCAAAACAAAACACAAAACAAAAGAAGCCTAGGGACAGTGCCCAGGACCTGAATTCAAGCCCCAGAACTGGCAAAAAAATTAATTTAAATTTTTTTTTAATTTTAATTTTTTTATTGTGAAAATACTGTACAGAGGGGTTACAATTACATGGGCAAGATAATGAGTACATTTCTTATCAAGCATTGTAGCCTCCGCCTTTGTTTCCCCTTCCCATCCCTTCCCATCCCACCCCCCTCAAAAAAAAAAACATCTTTTTTTAAAGTCTTGAAAGGATTAAACACTTACAAAAGCAGAAATGGCCTGCTTATCTACAGTGGGTGTGGCCAGTTTGGCCAGATTAGAACTCAAGCATTTTTCCAGCCAATTACTTCTCTCCATGCCTCTGCCCCACCCGGAACACCCTTGCAGGCGTGGCCTCTGGTCCAGGCATATTAGGGCCTTGGCCCACCACTTAGCTGGCTTGAAAGTCAGTTGTGGGAGTCTCATCTGCCAGAGCTTCTGAGCACCCCTGCTCCAGGGAAGCAGAAAGGTAAGCTAGGATGGGCTTGAAGTCTGGGCCTGGGTGCTGTCCCGAGCTTTTTAGGACAGGGCAAGCACTCTACCACTTGATCCACAATGCCACTTCGAATTTTCTGGTAGTTAATTGGAGATAAGAGTTTCACAGATTTTCCTGCTGTTGCTGGTTTTGAATCACAGATCTCAGATCTCAGCCACCCGAGTAGCTAGGATTAAGGTGTGAGCCACTGCCTTGGCTTCATTTCATTTTGGTAAAGATTATTATATGTGATTAGAGGCACAGAAGCGTGGTGCTTTTGTGTTCCTCTCCTACAAATATATCCCTTTGGTATCTCTGTGTGGATGCTTAGAGTCCTGTATAATTTAGCATGTCTGATGTTTTTAGCTTCCAGTGTATGAGAAAAAACTTGTACCATTTGTCTCCATGAGCTTGACTTACGCACTTAACATGATTTGTGCTAGGTCCATCCAGTTCCCTGCAAATGACACAGTATTAATTTTTTCTAATGGCTATGTAAAATTCTGTTGTGTGTTCTTTTTGACACCACTCTTGTGTTGTAAGAGTGGATCTTGCCTATTGTCAATAGTGCAGCAATGAACATGGATGCACAAGTGTCTTTATAGTATCTGCCTTGTGATGTTCTGGGTAGATGCCCAGGAGTGGTATGGCTGGGTCCTAGGGAAGATCTCTGTTTAGGTTTTTAAGAAATCTCCACAGTGCTGTCCACAGTGATTGTACTACTTTACATTCCCACCAACAGTGCAATAGGGTTCCTTTTCCCCACATCCCTGCCAACCATTTATTGTTGTTGGAATTCCCAATGATGGCCCATCTCAGAGTTGCTTTTGATTAGCATTTTCACTGTGACATTAAGAGATGTTGAGCATGCCTTTGTGTGTTTCTTTGCCATCATTCTTACCTATTCTGAGCAGTCTCCTGGACCCATTTAGTGATTGGTTTATGTGCTTGGGGAGAGGTTAGTTTCTTGAGCTCCTTTTATATATTGGATGTTAAGCCTTTGTCCCATGTATGGCTAGTAAAGATCTCCCACTCTGTTGACTCTTTCTAGCTTAGTAACTATGTCCTTTGCTGTACAGAAATTATCAGTTTGATTTGGTGGGGGGGGCGGGGGAGGGGGGGAGAATGGGAAAGGGATAGGAAGGGGAAACAAAGGAGGAGGCTACAATACTTTATGAGAAATGTACTCATTATCTTGCCCATGTAATTATAACCCCACTGTACAGTATTTTCACAATAAAAAAAATTAAAAAAAAGAAATTATCAGTTTGAGGTAATCCCATTTGCCAAGTCTCTTTTCCTGAACTATTTTTTGTTAAAAGCTAGTGCTCTCCCCCTAGAACAAACTCTATTTTCAGCATTTTTGCTGGTTAATCAGAGATAAGAGTTTTATGGAGTTTCCTGGTTGGCCTGGTTTTGAACCAGGATCCTCAGATCTCAGCCTCCTGAGTAGCTAGGATGACAGCCACTGACACCCAGCTGAAGAAGAGTTTTTAATGAATGCATCTTTCCTTATTAACAGAAACAAGGAGACATTAACTGGTGTCCATTATTAACTGCTGACCATCAAAGCTCCTGGACTGGCTTGCAGTTGTTGGCTTTTGGCGGCTCATTCTGCAACCAATCCTGTCACCAACTTCTGTCACTGAGGGCAGGAGCTGTGAAGGACATCAAAGCTCCCCTTGGGTCAGGTGACTTGGAACAGCCTATACCCTGAAGAAGCCCTCAGAACACATAGACCTTGCTTCCCAGCCCGATGGCCATGCAAGCAGCCTTGGCTGAGTTTCAGGTGGAAAGCAAGTGCCCTGTCTGTCTGGGCAAACTGAGCGACCCGGTCACCATTGACTGTGGACACAACTTCTGTCGCCTTTGCATCCGGCAGTGTTGGGCACAGATGGAGTTGCTGTCCTGTCCAGTGTGTCGTCACCGGTGCATGGAAGGGCATTTCTGGAGCAACCACCAAATGGAAAGGATGATTGAAATGACCCAGCAGCTCCTGACAGGCCCAAGCGAGGAAAGGAGGCTGAAGGAGAAACCCTTGTGTGAGCAGCACTGGCAGGTCCTGGTCCATTTCTGCGAGGATGACCTGCAGCTGCTGTGTCAGCGCTGCACCCAGCACCCTGAGCATCAGGGCCACTGTGTGAGGCCCATCAAGGAGGCCGCTGCTGACCACAGGCTAAAGCTCAAGACTCGCATTACCTCTCTGAATGACCACGTGCGGCATGCTCAGCAGGCACTAGCCGCCCAGTACAAGAAATGCGTGTGCCTGGGACAGGAACTGGAAGACCAGAGACAGCAACTATCCACCGAATCTACTTACTTGAAGATGCTTGTGGAACAGAAGCACAATGCATTCCTGGCCAAGGTACAGAAACAACAGGAGCACATTCAGCAGCAGCTGGAGGCAAACGAGATGGCCTTGAACAACCACGCTTACCATGTGGAAGTTCTATGCAGAGAGATAGCAGAGAAAAGCAAGATGACAGAAACGAAGCTACTGACAAACATCAAGAGCACCTTGAGCAAGTGTGAAAGCCTGGCGCCCCCAGACCTGCACACACTCAGCTTTAGGAAAGACGCCTGTGCCATTGCTCTGCAGCTTTCAGCCCTGCAGAGAATTAGGAAGAATTTTCGAGTGGAAGTGACCCTGGATCCCCAAACAGCACACCCGAATCTGTGGGTGTCCAAGGATAAGAAGAGTGTGGCGTTTATGCAGACAGAGCCAACCGAGCCTCTGTATCCAATGCATGTCATGGATTATCCCAGCATCCTGGGGGCTGCAAGATTCACTTCCGGCCGCCATTTCTGGGAGGTACAGGTGGAGGACAAGGATGCGTGGACAGTAGGGGTTTGTAAGGACTACCTTTGCCTGGATGCAATGTGGCCACACTCAGGACTGAACAAATGCTGGGCAGTTCAGCTTTGCAATGGCTACTATGTGGCTCGAAATGCCACTCTCCTCAATCTTTGCCTGGCAGAAAGACCCAGGAGGCTTGGCATTTATCTGGATTATGAATTGGGTGAGGTTTCCTTTTACAATTTAAAGGACAACTCTCTCATCCACACTTTTGTGGATGAGTTTTCTCAAGTGCTGAGACCTTTTTTCTCTGTTGGGTTTGATTCAAAGCCTCTTACTCTCTGCTGAGAAGCAGATGATGGAGGATTCCTCTTGATAAAAATCTAGGAATGTTCTTTTTATTTGTGTCAATTTGGGGCTTGAACTTGGAGCCTTTGTACTGCTTGAGCCTCCCTGTGCTCAAGGCTAGCACTCTACTACCTGAACCACAGTGCCACTTTGGGCTTTTTCTGAGTAGTTTATTGGAGCTAAGAGTCTTACAGACTTTCCTGCCCAGGGTGGCTTCACCTGGTGAACCTCAGGTCTCACCTCCTGAGCAGATAGTATTATAGACACAATTCCCTGGTGCCCAGCTGGCAGCCCAGCTCCCATTTCTGACCTTTTAGTGCTTAATTGGAGATAATAGTCTCACAAACCTGGGCTGGGAAGGTGGCTCAGTTGTAGAGCGCTTGCCTTGCATGCATGAGGCCCTGGGTTCCATTCCTCATCACCACATAAGCAAAAATAAAAAAGCCAGAAGTGGCACTGTGGCTCAAGTGGTAGAGCGCTAGCTTTGAGCTGAAGAGCTGAGGGACAGCGCCCAAGCATAGATTACAGGCCACACAACTGGACCCCAAAAACAAAATAAAACAAAAAAAGAGTCTCACAAACCTTTCTGCATCTCCTGATTTGAGCCTGGAACCTCAGATCCCAACCTGAGCAGCTAAGATTCTACCAAGTGCAATATATAACTTGAAACAGAAAGCTCATTCACAAACTGAAAACTGAAATAAAATACCTACTTAACAGGATTAGACAACTATTAATTTCTGCCCTCTGGAATTGTTCAGGGTTATATAATATTACATATATTAAATGTACATATATTGAATGTAGAATAATTAACATACAATGGTGATTACATACAACCGTCTTGTAAATTGTACCTATTGTTTAAATAAATATTTTTAAAGTACTATCTTTTAAAAACTTTTTGTATTTTATTTTTTACTTATTTATTTTTTTGTCTGTCTTGGGGCTTGAACTCTGGGTCTGGGTGCTGTTCTTGGGCTCTTCAGCTCAAGGCGAGCGCTCTACTGCTTGAGCCACAGTTCTACTTCCAGTTTTCTAGTGGTTTATTGGAGATAAGAGTCCACTGACTTGGGGCTGGGAAGGTGGCTCAGTGGTAGAGGGCTTGCCTTGCATGCCTGAGGGCCTGGGTTCGATTCCTCAGCACCACATAAGAAAAAAGCCAGAAGTGGCGCTGTTGCTCATGTGGTAGAATGCTAGCCTTGAGCTGAAGAGCTGAGGGACAGCACCCAGGCCCAGAGTTCAGGCCCCATGACTGGACCCCCAAAAAAAAAAAAAAGAGTCCACTGACTTTTCTGCCCGGGCTGGCTTTGAACCGTGATCCTCAGATCTCAGCCTCCTGAGTAGCTAGGATTACAGGAGTGAGCCACCAGTGTCTGGCATCTTTGTGGCATTTTTTAATATTTTATTACCTCGATTCCATCCTATTTTTCTTTGAGCTGAGGAGCAGACTCAGGGCCTAGCCCATACTTGATAAGTGCTCTTTCACTGAGCTAAATTCCCAACTGCTATTATTAAATAATTAACATTATTTAGCATTTATTTAATTCATCATTAATTTAATGTAATTTATTTAGATGAAATATAGGAAAAAGCATTGTATTGTTTCATTGACTTTTTGTGTGTATATGCGTGTATGTGTGCTGGTCCTGAGGTTGGAACTCATCGGGGTCTGTCCCTGAGCTTTTTTGCTCCTGGCTAGGGCTCTACTACTTGCACTACAGCTCTACTTTGACCATTTAGGTGGTGAATTGGAAATTAGTCTCATGGAGTTTCCAATCCAAGCTGTGCTCAGATCTCAGTCCCTTGAGTAGGTAGGATTACAGGCCTGAGCCACTGGCACCCAACTGTCTCATTATCTTGTTAACAGATTTTTTCTAGGGTGGGGAGACTGAGTGGGTTTAACATTGATATATACAAATGTGTCTTTTTGGTGTAACTAAACAAATAAGCATTTTTTTTTCTATGCCAGTCCTAGGGCTTGAACTTAGAGCCTGGTGCTGTGAGCTTTATTTTGTTCAAACCTATTGGCTCTACCACTTGAGTCATAGCTCCACTTTGGCTTTTGGGTAGTTCATTGGAGATAAGAGTCTCACAGACTGTCCTGACTAGATTGGCTTCCAACTGTTGATAATCAGATCTCAGGAAACAAATTTTAAGAAATCCAATTTCTCTTTAGGATTTGGCAATCTGGAGATGCTGTCTGTAAATGCAAGTATATGCCCGGAAGTAGACTAATAGAAACAGAAGACTGTTAGTGGCGGGGTGGGGGAGAGGAATCCCAGTGAGAGAAGAAAAAAAAAGTGATTAACACACATATATGGTTTAAAGAGTGCTTAGGAAGAGGCTTCCAGCTTCGGAAGTATACAGCTTAAGAGTAGAAGGTCATAAACGAGAGCCAGGCACCAGTAACTCATGCCTGTAATCCTAGCTAGCTACTCAGTAGGCTGAGATCTGAGGATCTTGGTTCAAAGCCAGCCCAGTCAGGAAAGTCTGTTAAACCCTTCAATTCACCACCAGAAAACTGTAGAGTTGTGGCTCAAATGGTAGCATAGAAGCCTTGAGCAAAATGCTCAGGGAGGGCTGGGAAGGTGGCTCAGTGGTAGAGGGCTTGCCTTGAATGCTTGAGGCCCTGAGTTCGATTCCTCAGCACCACATAAGCAAAAAGAAAAAAGCCAGAAGTGGCGCTGTGGCTCAAGTGGTAGAGCGGTAGCCTTAAGCTGAAGAGCTGAGGAACAGTGCCCAGCCCCAGAGTTCAGGCCCCACAACTGGGCCCCCCCCCCCAAAAAAAAGCTCAGGGGTAGTGTCCAGACCCTAAGTTTAAGCCCTAGGACTGGCAAAATCAATTCGTTAAGTAAAACTCTTGGGATGGAGGTATATAGTTCAGAGGTAGAGCTCATGCTTAACACAAAATGAGTTTCAATCAGGAGAAAAAGAGGAGGGGGGGTACACCTGGAGGCTATAGGTAAGGAAATACAAATTGACAAATGGTTACAAATGGAAGGATTGACCATTTTATAAAGCCTGTTAAGAAAATCTTTTAAGCTGGGCATTGGTGGCTCACGCCTGTAATCCTAGCTACTCAGGAGGCTGAGATCTGAGGATCGCACTTCAAAGCCAGCCCGGGCAGGAAAGTCCAGAAACTCTTATCTCCAATAAACCACCAGACTAACGAAAGTGGTGCTGTAGCTCAAGTGGTAGAGCGCTAGCCTTGAGCTGAAGAGCTGAGGGACAGCATTCTACAGCATTCAGGCCCAGAGTTCAAGCCCCACAACCGACAAAAACAAACAAAAAAAGAAAATCTTTTAGTGTCAATACAGTTTTTAAAAGGCAGCTGGGGCTGGCTCATGCCTCCAATACTTGAAACTAGGGAGGCTGAGATCTGAGGCTGAGCTGAAGACTGTTTCAGCAGACTCTTAGCTCTAGTTAGCTACTCAGAAATGGGAAGTGAAGCTGTGGCTCAAAGTGGTAGAGTGCTAGACTTGAGCAAAAAGAGCTCAGGGACAGAACCGGGACTCTGGGTTCAAGCCCCACAACCGACAACAAACAAAAAAACAGCCCCGGCCCCAGTGGCTCACTCTGGAGGCTGACATGGTAGAATCCTGGTTGGAAGCTAGCCTGAATGGGAAAGTTTATGAGATTCTTACTTCCATCTAACCAGCAAAAAGCCAGAAGTGGGGCTGTAGCTCAAGTGGTAGAGCGCCAGCCTTGAGGGAAAACTCAAAGGGACAGATGCCAGGACCTGAATTCAAGCCCTGGGACCGACGCACACACCATTTTTTACAAGGCAAATACACACTGCTTCATATGACCAAAACCCCAAAATTCATTCTTTCTTCCTTCCTTTTCTGTCTTTCTGTTTGTCGTGAGGCCTGAACTCTGGGCCTGGGCGCTGTCCCTTAGCTCTACCATTTGAGCCACAGAGCCACTTCTGTTTAATTGAGGGTAAGAGTCTCCATGACATTCCTGCCTGGGCTGGCTTTGAACCACGGTCCTCAGATCCCAGCCTCCTGAGTAGCTAGGATGAAAGGCGTGAGCCACCAGCGCCGGGCTTTCCAAAATTCTTAAGTTGACACCAAGGCGCGTAGGTGGAGGGTAGCAAAGACCAGGCCTGGAAACTTCATGGGCCAAAAAGAAAACAATACAAGACCAAGGCCTCTGCTGGTTACCTTTCAGGCCCCGCCCCGCTCCGCCCGGCCCCCCCCACCCCGCCCGGCCCTCTGGGTGGAGCCCTCAGCCCTGCAATTGACCCATAAAGGTGTGTTCCCGTGAGTGGCACGCTGAGCCTGGTGGCGACCCGCCTGGCGGCCTGCGGAGGTAAGTGGGGCTGGGCTGGGTAAGCAGGGGGCTGCAATCTGGGGTTCCCCCCTGCCTGCTCCAGGTCTGGGCTGCGGGGTGGGTCCTCCTTGTCAAGGGCATTCAAGGCGGGTTAGGGCTCCTGGTTTTTCCCAGTAGCGCTGGTTGGTGGGGAGACCTCGGGTGTGGAAGTGAGGGGTGGTTTGTGTTCCGAGGTGGGGTGCGGCACTAGTGGCTCCCCGGTGAGCCCCCTTTTCTTTAAGGTATCTGTAAGTAGTTGTTCAGAGGAGCTGCCTGGCAACAAAGCAGTTCAGGAATACAAGGCGTCGGTGGGGGGGGGGGGGGGGGGACTGAGTCTCCAGCCAGAACCTGGCTTGGGCGATTTCGGGGGGAGCTTCACCCCCGGAGCCGCACCCTCCAGTCAGGATTGATGACTGGTTGGTTGGAGACCTGAGTTTTTAAAGACATTCCTGCTTGAGCTGGTCTAGAACCTCCATCCTCAGATGGGCGCTCCTGGCCTGAGCCACTTGCCTCAAGCTGTTGTAGCTGTTGGGGATGGGATTCTGAATTAGGAGGCTGCTCAGTCTGCTCATTCACGAGGTCGACTGAGGCCCAGAGGCTAGGAGCCACCGCAGGTGACCCCGACCACCCCCTTAGAGAGCGCTGAACCGTTCCTGCGCTTGCGCCAGGCATTTCTTAACTCAGGAGAGAGCCCCGGCTCTGCCCGGTGCTTTTTGGCTCAAGGCTGGTGGTCTGCTATTTCAGCCACACCTTCTGCTTTGTGTTAGTTAATTGATGATTTGTCTGCTCTGGCTGGCTTCAAACCTCTATCCTTAGATCTCAGCCTCCTAAGTAAGTAGCTAGGATTATAGGCCGAGCCACTGCTGCTGAGCTATGTGCTTGCCTCCCTCCCCCCTCCTTCTCTTCCCCCTCCTCTCTCTTTCTTTCTCTCTCTCTCTTTCATTCGTTCTTTCTTTCTGCCAGTCCTGAGGATTTAACTCGGCCTGAGCACTGTCTGAGTCTCTCTGTACTCAAGACTAGTGCTCTACCACTTGAGTCACAGCACCACTTCCAGATTTTTCTGTTTATGTGGTACTGAGGAATCAAACCCAGGACTCCGTGGGTGTTAGGCAAGCACTCTACCACTAAGCCACATTCCCAGCCCACATGCATTGTTAATATTATTGGCTTTGGAAGTGTTCTCCCCCAAAAGATATTAAATAGTAGACAATTACATCAGACACTGTGACACATGCCCATAAATCTCAATACTAGGGAGGTGGAGATAAAGTCAGACTGGAGAGCCAAGTAATGTTAATTACTCCCCAGAGGCTGAAATCTGAGGGTCGAAGTTCAAAGCCAGCCTTCCCAGGAAATCTGTGATATTCTAATCTCCAGTTCACAATCTGAAAGGCTAAAGTGTCTCAAGTGTCTAAGTGCCAACTCGCATCTCGGATGCATAGAAGCACAGTTACTGCAATGAACTTCCTCACTTGCATTTTGTGCCACAATATATGAAGTGCACTGTCTTCTATCAATACACTTGATGTTGGCATCTTTGAAATCCATTTGGTCTGCCTTGCCTAGGATGTCTGGTATATGCATACCGTGGAGTTAAATCCCTCAGCTGGTTTAGAAGACCAGTATTTCCAAAAAAGTTCAAACCAGTGCTGAAGAGAATGTCTGGACACAGGCTTTGAATGTTTTAAGTTAGGTGTGTGTAGGGATTGATGCTGTGATATTTTAGCTTTTCACATTCCAGGGTTGGGAAGGTGGCTCAGTGGTAGAGCGCTTGCCTTGCATGCATGAGGCCCTGGGTTCGATTCCTCAGCATCACATAAGCAAAAAAAAAAAAAAAAAGCCAGAAGTGGCGCTGTGGCTCAAAGTGGTAGAGCGCTAGCTTTGAGCTGAAGAGCTGAGGGACAGCGCCCAGGCCCAGAGTTCAGGCCCCGTGACCGGACCCCCACCCCCCCAAAAAAAAAAAACTTTCACATTCCATTCTCTGTGGAAACTAAAGCCTTACTTCTTAAAGAGGAGGTTGTTCCTTTCTGTGATGTTGGGATATCTACTGTCTAGCATTCAAAACATGTGTTAGCAGTTTTTCATTAATTATAAGAACCAGGGACAACCTAAGTTTCCAATTCTTGACCATTGATGGTTCTGAAGCATCCTTCCCGTTCTGTTGTTCAGTGCTCCCTTTTCTACAAGGAAGTATGTTCTGTTTAGGAGTTCTTTGCTTAGAAGCAAAGACTCCACGCCCATTTTTATTTGTGTCATTCCTAGGATTTGAAATCAGAGCCTGGGTGTGGTCCCTGAGCTTTTGCTTAAGGCTAGTGCTTTACCACTTAAGCCTCAGCTCCACTTCTATCTTTTTTGTTGTTTATTGTAAGAATTTCGAGGACTTTCTTGCCTGGGGTTGTCTTTGAACTGCAATCCTCGGATCTCAGCCTCCTGAGTAGCTAGCTAATGAGCCACCAAGCCCCAAACCCGCACCTTTTTTTCCTTTCCTTTTCTTTGGGGACTGGAACTCCAGTACCTGATGCTTCAGCTCATTGGTGCTCTACCAACTGAGCCAAGCTTCCAACTCCCCCCCCTTTTTTTCCAGACATGGGGCTTGAACTCTGGGCCTGGGCCCTGTCCCTAAGCTCTTCAGCTCTACCATTTGAGCCACAGTACCACTTCCAGCTTTCTGGTTGTTAATGAAAGAGTCTCACAGACTTTCCTGCCCAGGCTGGCTTTGAATCATGATCCTTAGATCTCAGCCTCTTGAATAGGATTACAGGTGTGAGCCACCAGTACCCGGCTCTTTCCTCCTTTTCTTTTTATCCTTTCCTTACTCTGTGTGTGTGCGTGTGCGTTTGCGTGCGCACGCGCGCGCTAGTACTGGGGCTTGAACTCAGGGTTCTTCACGTGGCTTTCTTGCTCAAGGGTGGTTCTGTACTATTGGAGCCATACCTCAGCTTTAACTTGTTAACTGGAGATAAGAGTTTCAGATTTACATGCCTGGGCTGGCTTAAACCACAATCAGGGTGATTTCATGATTACATTTCCACCCAGGTTTACAATATATTCCAATCACTCTCACCCTTCTATCATTCTCACCTCCCTTAAGTTCTGTAGTTTGGAAGGATGAAAGTTCTCAGTGCTCATCATTAATTAATTGATTGCAAGAGTTTGGGCTCTTGACTAGGAATGTAATTGTTGCTAGAATGCCTGCTGAGCCTGCAGGAGATCCTGGGTTAGATCCTTTGCACACCTAAACAATTCCAATCCCCAAAGGAATTTGGGCTATATAGTAAATTCCTACCAGTTGCAGAGATAACCAAGGTTCTATTGTAGCTTGTGGTCTGTGTGTCTCTGGACTACTTTTCCTCAGCCTCAGTTGGGTCATTGTTATCTAGATGTGCCAAGGAGCTTGGATGCCTCTTGCCTTATCTATCTACTATCCTAGCTACTCTACTATCCTAGCTACTCAGGAGGCTGAATCTGAGGATTATGGTAGAGAGCCAGCCTGGGCAAAGAAGTCTGAGACTTTCATTTCCAATTAACCACCAAAGAGTTGGAAGTGGAGGTGTGGCTCAAGGGATAGAGCACCAGCCTTCAACACAAGCTAAAGGATAGCACTCAGGTCCTGAGTTCAAGTCCCAGTTCCAACACACACACACACACATATTGTAGGGACTGGGTGAAGTGGTGTGGGAATGGCAGGTGGGATTTGTAAGGATTTCTTTCCTAAGAAATTTCTCACCCACAGCAAGTGTGAGGCTGGAGGAGCTGTGATTGACCGCCGCTAGCCCACAAGAGGGACTCTTGTTGGATTCTGGAACTGAAGAGTGAAGACTTCAGAAAGCCTTTTTTTCTTTCTTTCTTTCTTTGGTCGGTTGTGGGGCTTGAACTCTGGGCCTGGGCACTGTCCCTCAGCTCTTCAGCTCAAGGCCAGAGCACTGTACCACTTGAGCCACAGCACTACTTCCAGTTTTCTGGTGGTTAATTGGAGATAAGACTCTCATGGACTTTCCTGCCCAGGCTGGCTTTGAACTGTGATCCTCAGGTCTCAGCCTCTCCTGAGTAGCTAGGATTAAAGTCATGAGCTAGAGCCAGAGCCCGGCTAAAGCCTTCTTAGAGTGTGACCATTGTGGGAAACCAGGACTGCAGTGAAACCCTTCCTGTCTCAGACAGTGAGATCTGAGCGTGATCCGTTGTCCCTCCAGAGAGAACTGAGAACCAAACTTCTGAAGTACATCGCCTGTGGGCACCCCCCTTCATTCCCTGCTCCCAATGGCGGTGACAGCAGCCTTGGCCAGATTTCAGGCTGAATCCAAGTGTCCCATCTGTTTGGAAGACCTTAAAGACCCGGTCACCATTGAATGTGGACACAACTTCTGTCGTGCCTGCATCCAGCAGTCCTGGGAAAATCTGCAGGAGATGTTCCCCTGTCCCGTGTGCCGCCACCTGAACGAAGAGGGCCACTACAGAAGCAATCTCCAGCTGGGGAGGATGATCAAAATCGCCCAGCAGCTCCACGTGGGCAGCAGCAAGAGGAAGAGGCTGGAAGAGAGCCCTCTGTGTGAGAAGCACAACCAGGCCCTCACCCTCTTCTGTGAGAAGGATTTGGAGCTCCTGTGTCCTGTGTGCCTGAGGCCCCCCAACCACAATCGCCACACGGTGAGGCCCATCGCCCAGGCCGCCTCTACTCACAGGGAGAAGCTCTTCTCCTATATCCAGCCCCTGAAGCAGCAGCTGGACCACGCCCGAAAACTACTACAGACCCAACACAAGAAACATCTGGAACTCCAAGAGATCCTGGAAAACCAGAGAAAGCAATTCACCTCTGAGTTTGAACATCTGAAGCGCTACTTAGAGCAGGAGCAGCAGGCAGCTCTGTGTAGGTTGGAAGAAGAGGAAAAGGAGCTAGGACAGAAACTCCAGGAAAACATAGAGGCCTTCACCAACTATGGTTCCAGACTCCGCAGTCTGCTGCACAAGGGCGAAGAGCAGATGCTGCTGCCCGAAGTGGAATTTCTGGCCGAAGTGAAACATTTCCACAGGAATTTGGACAGTGAAGTTAGCCCGCCCATCTTTTCCAGTCATTTGAGGCCACACGCCTGCACTTTTTCTCCCCAGTACTCTGCCCTGCAAAAGCTCATCAGGAAATTTAAGGTGGACCTCGTTCTAGACCCTGAGACGGCGCATCCGAATTTGATTGTCTCCAAGGATAAGAAGTGTGTGAGCTTTTCAAAGAAGAAACAACAGGTGTCTAATTCTCCAAGGAGGTTTAAAGCCAACACTGTGGTTCTGGGGGCTCTGGAGATTGGCTCAGGGAGGCATTTCTGGGAGGTTCAAGTAGGGGATAAGGCTGAGTGGGGTATTGGAGTCTGCAAGGCCTCTATGTCCCCAAAAGCTAAATCCAGCCCCCAGGGGTGCTGGAGAATGTTGCTGCAGAATGGCAGCTATGAGGCTCCGGGAGCTGTTCCCAAACCTCTGATAGATGTTGTGGCCAGATGCATCGGCATCTTCCTGGACTACGAGCTAGGGGAGCTCTCCTTCTATAACATGCCCGAGAAATCTCACATCTGCACGTTCAGGGGGACTTTCACGGAACCCCTGAAGCCCTATTTCTATATGGGACCTACTTCAGAACCTCTCAGTATCACCACCGCAGCAGGTTGCTTGCAGTGAACACTCTCTGCATGGGCTGGTTTTTTATTTTTATTTTTGGTGCTAGAACTAGGGCCTTGAACTCAGAGCCTGGGCACTGTCCCCTTTAGCTTTTTTTTTTTTTGGGGGGGGGGGGGTTCAAGGCTGGTGGTACTCTACGATTTGAGCTGAAGGTCCACTTTTGGTTGTGTGTGTGTGTGTGTGAAGGTCCACTTCTGGCTATGTGTGTGTGTGTGTGTGTGTGTGTGTGGTGTGTGTGTGTGTGAGATTAATTGGAGAACCTCTGTCTGGCCCTCAGATCTCAGCAGACAGGGCCACCATGGGCTGGCTCCCTGTTTCTTTTGATTTCATTTCACTCAAATTATAAATACAAAAAAAATTGATTATATTGTAAATATGTTTTCCATCAACTTAAGTTTAATCTCCTGAAACTTTAATTGGCTATATATTATCAAATATGTCTTTATTCTACTGAGATTTATCTTTGTTACCCATTTCTCATTAAAATTGTTGCCATGGTTTTATGTGTCTGTGCAGTTGGGTACTGTATGGAATGGTTAGTGTTTTGAGCTTAATGTATAAAACTAATGAAGGGTGGGATGTGGAATTTGACTCTTGAATGTATCCCTCTCCTCATTTTGAAATGATTATTTGAAGATATTTTAGATGCTCTGTAATCTCAGAAACAACAGAGCTCTTCAATAATTGTCCCAAACCCAGTGTCTTCTGCAGGTGTTCTACCACTGAGCCACGTCCTCAGCCCTCACTTCCTTCTAACAGTACATGTAGCACAGGAGGGTCTAATGTCAACAATCCCGTGACTCAAGTCTCTCAACTGGGTTACAGGTATGCACCACCTACCTGGCCGAAATTGTGTGTGTGTGGTGGTGGTGGTGGGGGAGTTGGTGCTGGTATTGGGGCTTTAACTGCTGTCAGTGGGGCCTGAGAACAGTCATTTAACTTTTCCACCCAAGGCTGGCATTCCACCACTTAACACAGTTCCACTTCTGGGTGGTTAATTGGAGATGAGTCTCAGACATTTCTGACCACGTTGACATGTGTTTTGGTGTAAAAACTCTTTCAGAACTCCCGAGGCGCCTCCTGAGTGGCCAGGACTACAGGTCTGAGCCACCAATGCACATTGGGCAATGGCCTTAGAACTGGCCTGTCCGTTCAGGACTTCAACAGTGGGGCAAACCTGAACATTGAGGGAAGCTGGAATTGAGAGGTAGACCCTGAGCTGTCTGAGTTTGTCTCTACTCACTTTGCAGTGGTGGAGTCAGTCAGCTTTGAGGAATATGGTACTAAAGCAGACTTGGAAATGACACAGTATGGACAAAGGCAGGGTCAAGAACCCAGTGTGGAAGATTCCACAGGGGGAACTCCGCCTCATGAGTGCTGGGATTAAAAGCCATCCCAGTGAGGTTTTTTTTTTCCATGTTATATTACCATAAGAGTTCACTAAAAGGTCTGATTTGTGGAATAACTGAATTTATAAGAATTTTCCACTCATCTCCCCAGTTAACCTTTTCTGTCTGGATCCCGGCATCTAAAATCCTCTGGTATGCAGTCAGCTCCCAACTAAGGGTTAAATGTATGCTTATGGAGACGTAAGCATACACTGGGATGCTGCTCGGCATCCTCAAGCACGGAGAGCAGCCCCTTCCCCCAACCCTCCCCTACTCACCACCAGTGTCTAGTACAGGATATGGAAACCCTGCCTTGGGGAGACTGCAAATTAGGATTGTTAAGAATTTGATTCAACAAAGATGTGAGGTGTACTCCTGGAGAAATGCGGCCCGTGCTGTGGAGCACCGGTGGCCTCACCAGTGCTCAGAATCCAGGCTTTCATGTCTGAAAAGCTCTGAACAAGTGTTTCCCACAGAAGTGACTGAGGACTGCTCGCTTCACACTGCGACCACAGGGCTGTAGCAGTGAGGTTCCAGAGCAGTATTTTTGTTCTCTTTCTGTAATCCTTGGTATCCAGAAGGCTGAGACCTGGAGGATGGAGGGTGAAAGCCACTGCAGCGGAAAAGTCAAGAGGAGCCTGGAGGCGTGGCTTATGTAGCAGAGCTGGTGCTCCACTACATGCACAGGGAGGGCCGGAGGCTCTGGGTTCAAAGCCTGGTACCAGCAAAAAAAAAAAGATATTTCAGGAGCAAATGAAGCAAGAGTGCACATCAGAAATGATCAATAAAAAGATCAACTTTATTAGTTCTTAAAGAAATGCAGTCACAAATGACACAGCTGTCAGACTAGGATTACAGAGACCATCAGTGTTCAGAGTTAAGGGTATGGAACTGCAGTACCATAGCTTTGTATAGTTCCTTGGCAGTGAGGTTCCAAATCAGTGCTTTTGGTCCCAGACAGGGATTTGAACTCTGTACCTGAGCTTGTACTCATTGGCTAGAGTTCTACTGAGCCACGTTTCCGGCCCTGTCAGTTTTCTTGATATTTTTCAGTCGTGATGTTACGCATCATACACACGTCTTTACATATACACATATGTTATGTACTTGCCATGTCTTCCTGCCACCATCTTTTCTTCATATATACGTACATACATACATGTATGTATAATTTTTTGGTTGGTCACAGGGCTTGAACTTGGGGCCTGGGTGCTGTCCCCAAGCTCTTTTGTTCAAGGCTCTTACTCTACCACTTTCAGCCATAGTGCCACTTCCTGTATTTTTGACTTAGGGTCTTATAGGCCCTAGGCTGGCCTTGAACTTGTAATACTCCTCTCAGTCACCCATAAGCTAGAACTACAGACCTACACTACCACACCCAGCTTTCCTCCATATTTAAAACTTGTGTCCTCAGTTCTGCTCAAAACCTTTCAGCAGACCCCATTACCAACAAAGTCCAAGCAGGTCCCTGGGCAGTGTCCAGGGCTCCAGGATTGTCTCTGCCAACCTCTCCAGCATGCCCCGCCACCCCCACAACCCCACCTCACACCTCTGTTTCACAGACACAGTGCCTAAGGCATTTGTAGTTACTTTGCTTTAGTCATTAAGCCAGACTCCCTAAAAAAACCTACTCCCCCCTCCCCCAGGGCACTGACTGCAGTTTAGCCTAACTGCAATTACCCACTCAGGGACAGCCCAGAAATCTGCTTCCTCTTTAGAATACAAGCTGCATGTAATTTTGCACCCATAGTAAATAGAATACCTCATACTTCAATTGTTCATTTTCCTGTCGTTTCTGATACCTAGTTTCATTTATTGCTAGGAATGTTCATTGTTGAGTTTAGAAACATGGCAATAGTGAAGCTAGGAGCTGGTGGTTTACACCTTTAATCCTAGCTACTCAGGGGGCTATGATGTTGGTTCAAAGCCAGCCAGGGGAAAGAGTCCCAAACACTTCTGTTCTTTTTCTTTTTTTTTTTTTTTTGTTGGTCGTGGAGCCTTAACTCTGGGCCTGGGCGCTGTCCCTCAGCTCTTCAGCTCAAGGCTAGCGCTCTGCCACTTAAGCCACACCACCAATTCCGGCTTTTTCTGCTTATGTAGTGCTGAGAAATGGAACCCAGGGCTTCATGCATACAAGGCAAGCACTCTATCACTGAGCCAGCTTCCCAACCCCCCAAACACTTATTTCTTTTTTTTTTTTTTTTGTCGGTCGTGGGGCTTGAACTCTGGGCCTGGGCACTGTCCCTCAGCTCTTCAGCTCAAGGCGAGTGCTCTACCACTTGAGCTACAGCCCCACTTCCGGTTTTCTGGTGGTTTATTGGAGATAGGAGTCTCTCGGTCTCTCCTGCCCGGGCTGGCTTTGAACCACGATCCTCAGATCTCAGCCTCCTGAGTAGCTAGGATTACAGGTGTGAGCCACCAGCGCCCGGCCCCAAACACTTATTTCTAACCTTAAGAATTTGATATGACTGGGCATGGCTGTGCACATCTATTTGCAATCCCAGCACTTGAGAAATGGAGGCAGAAGGACTGAGTGTTAGAAGCCAGCTCAGCTTACAAAGCAAGTTTGAGACCAGCTAGGCCTCAACACTGGAAGTATTAAAACATGTGAACTGAGGATGACACTTAATGGTAAAGCACTTGCCTAACCATCTGCAAACCTTGGCTCCAGCCCCAAATACATAGAAATCAGATGTTTACCATCTACACGTTGAGTTGACAGGACATTTTATTTTGTTAGCATTTTAAAGTGCAACCCAACACTAAAATGAGCACTTCTCACCCTATTTAAATAAGATTTTAAGCCAAAGAAGGTTCTATCCCTACAACTGAACTTATTGATTCAGTAAGGGTATAATTAATACTGAAATACATAGTAACTTCTTGAAGGGTAAAAATAAAGTGAACAAATTTGTGTGTATGCCAGTGTTAGGGTCTGAACTCAGGGCCAGGGTGCTCTAACTAAAGGCTAGTATTCAACCACTTGCACCACATGTCCAGTTCCATCTTTTAGGTGATTAATTGGCAATAAGCACTCAGGAACTTTCCCTGCCCAGGCTGCCTTCATTTCAGATCTCAACCTCCTGAGTAGACAGGATTACAGTGTGAGCTACCAGAGATGGCCTGGAATATGTTAGTTTAAAGCTCTGTTTAAATAGATTATCACATTAGACTTCCTTTATGAAGAGCCAAATTATTAGAGTTCTTCAAATGTACCTCTGATCCCAGGAAAAGCCAAGAAGTTAAATTATTTCAAAATGCAGAAAACAGACATTTTCCTCAAGTTCTCAAGGCTAGTACCGAAGACCTTCCAAATGACCCCCCCCCACCCTCCCCCCAGTCCCATCTACCAAACAGCCACACAGGTAAGAACCAAATCCAGGCTTCCAACCAGGTCAGGAAACTGTTGCTCAGCAGAGGCTGTGACTTCCAACTCCCATCGGGGGCTGGCTAGGGGATGGTCTGAAGGGACTCTCATTAGGACAGCGGTCACGCCTGCGTGCCTAGGTCCGGACAAGTGAGTGCCAACAGCCGTTTACTCAACAGTGCATTGTGCCGCTTCAGGCACAGGATGATGTCTCCTTGCTTTTCAACAATTTCTTCTAAGCTTGAAACAGTCCTGCAACAATCAAGAAATAAACGGGTTACATGAATCCATTACCACTCGGCGGTGTGGTGGTGTGTTTGGGAGTGCACCAGCTCTTAGTACAGCACAGGACATGTTTGATGTTACAGACAGGCAATATTCCAAAGTGACATTCTTCTGAACATGAGAGTAGGTAGTGATTTCTACTCTTTGTGTGTGTGAGTGCAAAAATGTTCATGTGCCAGTCCTGGGGCTTTAACTCAAGAGTCTGTGTGCTGTCCCTAAGCTTTTTATTTTGTTGTTTTTTTTTTTAAAATCAAGACTGGGGCTTTACCACTTGAGCCCAACTCCATTTCCAGCTTTTTGGTGGTTAGAGATAAAGTCTCATGGACTTCCCTGCCTAGGCTGACTTTGAACCAGGATCCTTATAACTAGCCTCCTAAGTAGCTAGGATTACAGGCATGAGCCACTACCTCTTGGCCACTTCTGGGTTTTGTTTTGTAGTTTACTGGAGGTAAGAGTCTCATGGATTTTCCCATCTGGGCTGGGTCATCAGATCTTAGCCTCCTGAGTAGCTAGGACTGTAAGCATGAGCCACCAGCACTTGGCTTATAGCTATCTTTTTTTTTTTTTTCTTTTTTGGTACTGGGGATCGAACCCAGGACGTTGCACTTGCTAGGCAAGTGCTTTGCCACTGAGCTACATCCCAGCCCCTTATAGCTATCTTTATCTCCCCTTTTGAAATATTAGGTATGGAGTTCAAGGCCTTGTGTATGTATCCACTGAGCTGCATTCCCATGCCGGCCTTTAAAACTTTTTAAAAATTTATTTTGGAACAAAGTCCTGCTAAGTTTTCCAGACCCAGACTAGCCTCGACTTGGAAGCCTCCTCCTTTGGCCTCACGAGTAGCTGGGATGAAAGGTGAGATTGTCATTACACCTCACAGCTGAGATTCTAATTCTTTCTTGCATCTTCTTGTTCCCAACTTACACCTTACCTGAATCCCGTCTCTGAAGGAATACTGCTAGGGTAAGCATAGATTTTTTCTTCTTCAAGAACATCAGGCTGTGGTTTAGCTCTATTAAATCTTCCGATTTTCACTAAAAGAACAAAATCAATATCAGAGTAATTCTGAAAAATATCTATGTTTATTCCAATTATTTAGAATAAAATAATTGGAATACTTGGCTGTTCTTTCCAAGTAAGTCAATAGATGGGAGTGCGGGGGGTGATGGAAGTTGAGTTTGATCGTGGCACACTATTCATGGGTGGAAATGTCACAGTAAAACTCCTTTGTACGGCTAATGTATGCTAATAAATTAACATGCATGAGTTGCGTTGTACCATCAATACATAGGTGAGCTCCTAAGTGTAGCTGGTCATTTGGAAGTCTACTCAGCCATCAGTAAGAGGGGAATCCAGAGGCTGACATTATGCAATGACACTCACCACTGAGGTTTACTGGGCACTTACTAAGGTTTATTGGGGTTTATTGGGCACTTAGCTGCTATAGGTGGATGAGTTCATTCAGCTTTCATAACCACCCCGTGGAGTGGGTGGTATTTTACTCCTACCTCTTACAGATGACCAAGGGCAGCCTTAGCCAGGCTCCCAATCAGTCATGACTTCAGCGCTCTGCTGTTGACACTGCTTTGGGAGAGTCTCTCCACATGTGCCTCCTCTAGGCATTGCACAGATTATGGAATCGTAACTACATAGTTTGATAAGTGGTTTCTTCCATGGGGGATAAGTTCTCATGATCCATTCATTTAACGAGCAAATATCTGCAAGCTATTATGTAAAGCAGGGCAGCAGAGACAGCCAGGTAAGAAACCAGGAAAGTGAGTTACAGAGCAGAGGAAATCACAGTATGCATCTCAGGATGGGGCGATTCGTTGTGTTCAAGGTCCTGGAAGAACCAGTAAGATGAGGCTGCTGGTGCAGCTCAAGGGCGGGTGTTTCCGGTCATCTCTTCTTCCCTAAACCACAGGCTCTCTCTGGAACTCACAATCTTCCTGCCTCAGCCTCTATTATAGTCTGTGATTACCAGCATGCACTTCTAAGACCCAGCTGTGTGTTTTTCATTTTACTTATGCATCATGCATGCATGCTGACACTGGGACTTGAATTCAGGGCCTTATGCTCTTGTTTGGCTTGTTTAATCAAGTTTGGTGCTACCACTTGAGCCACAGCTCCACTTCCTTTTTTTTTTTTTTTATGGTTAATTGGGGATTAGGGTACCTGGAGTTGTCTGTGAGGGCTGGCTTCAAACCCAGGCCAGATTCTCAGATTTCAGCCTCCTAAATAGCTAGGATTACAGAGGTGAGATACTCGAGCCCACCTAGCTAGCTGTGGTTTTAACTTTAAACCAAACTTACTTTGCTTTTGAGAAAGCAAATTTGTGGCAGCTCTTCCCTCTACCCCTAACCCCATACACACTCAAAAAGCTTCCCTTGGGCTGGGAAGGTGGCTCAGTGGTAGAGCGCTTGCCTTGCATGCCTGAGGCCCTGGGTTCGATTCCTCAGCACCACATAAGCAAAAAGAAAAAAGCCGGAAGTGGGGCTGTGGCTCAAGTGGTAGAGCGCTAGCCTTGAGCTGAAGAGCTGAGGGACAGCGCCCAGGCCCAGAGTTCAGGCCCCATGACCGGACCTCCCCAAAAAAACAAACAAACAAAAAGCTTCCCTTCCGTTGACAAGAATTTCTGATTCAAGACGCATTGTAGTCATAATCTAACTTGTTAAACTGAAACACCTTTGTACAACTACTAACAACTTACTTGTGACACCAATTCAGAAAAGAGACTCACAGGTGGTGGTTGTATTCCTGTTGATGCTTTGAAATTAGGGAAGTATAGATGTGGCCAAAAAGGAAAGACAGGTGCTAAACAGGTTCTCAGCTAATGAGGGGAACTTACTGATGACTAAAATTGTGGGCTCTACTTCAAGCTGAGAGGAAGGGAAGTTTTCTAATGGCCACATGAGCATGGACTAAGGGAGACAGTGAGTGAGGCTGAATCTGGTCCAAACCGTTTGCTTGCATACCTGAAAACAGACCCATGAACCTTGCTGAAGTTGTTCTCCGGGGGAGAGCGACAGAGAGGTGTGCAGGTGACTGGGAAGCGCTTTCACAATGAACCCTTCCCCTCATACAACTGATGCATGCAAAACCGACACCCAACACAACTACCCCAGCTAGCTGTAATGCTCACCTGCATACAGGAGCAGCCAGGTGAACGAGCAGATGAGCTCCAGGCCCAGGGTGGTGAGGATGAGGAGAAGGAACAGCCAGCTGAACTCGGGGAAGGAGTGCTGCAGGCCCAGGATGAGGAGGAGGGCGGTGTTCCCTGAGGAGGAAACGCCCGCATTAGAGGCCACAGAAACTACAGATGCTTCCAGAAAATCCACAGGAGGCCTACATGCTGCTGGTGCCACCGCCATGTCTTTAGTGATCCCTGAGAAGTTCCAGCACATTCTGTAAGCACTCAACATCAATGGATGATGGCCTATGGAAAATAAGCTTTGCCATAGCTGCTATTAAAAGCAAAGACACGCTCGCGTGGTATGATGCAAGCAGACACTGACCTCACCAAGAGGCTGGAGCAGAGGGTGAGCTGAAGGTCAGAATCCACGTCCGTACAAGATCCCAAATGGGTTCCTGAACAGACAGAAGGATGGAAAAGATGGAAAACAGGCTGGGAAGGTGGCTCAGTGGTAGAGCGCTTGCCTAGCATGCATGAAGCCCTGGGTTCAATTCCTCAGCACCATATAAACAGAAAAAGCCGAAGTGGCACTGTGGTTCAAATGGTGGAGTGCTAGGCTGCTCAAGGGCAGTGCCCAGGCCCCGAGTTCAAGCCCCAGGACTGACAAGGGAGAAAAAAAAGATGGAAAACACTTGGCTTTTTGGCCAGTGGCCTGGACAATAACTTCGTGAAGACCTGGAATGGCTGAAAGAGACTGCAGCCCATGGAAGGCTGCACCGCGTCTAAGGCCTTAAGAGTCAGAGGCCAGCACACCAAGACCACTGGACACTGTGGTCCTGCTGTGGGTGTGTTCCAGAGGAAAAGAGCCCTAGGCCTTTTCTGTTAATAGTTTATACATGGGGCTGGGAAGGTGGCTCAGTGGTAGAGCGCTTGCCTTGCATGCATGAAGCCCTGGGTTCGATTCCTCAGCACCATATAAACAGAAAAAGCCGAAGGGGCACTGTGGTTCAAATGGTAGAGTGCTAGGCTGCTCAAGGGCAGTGCCCAGGCCCCGAGTTCAAGCCCCAGGACTGACAAGGGAGAAAAAAAAGATGGAAAACACTTGGCTTTTGGGCCAGTGGCCTGGACAATAACTTCGTGAAGACCTGGAATGGCTGAAAGAGACTGCAGCCCATGGAAGGCTGCACCGCGTCTAAGGCCTTAAGAGTCAGAGGCCAGCACACCAAGACCACTGGACACTGTGGTCCTGCTGTGGGTGTGTTCCAGAGGAAAAGAGCCCTAGGCCTTTTCTGTTAATAGTTTATACATGGGGCTGGGAAGGTGGCTCAGTGGTAGAGCGCTTGCCTTGCATGCATGAAGCCCTAGGTTCGATTCCTCAGCACCACATAAGCAAAAAGAAAAAAGCCGGAAGTGGTGCTGTGGCTCAAATGGTAGAGCGCTAGCCTTGAGCTGAAGAGCTGAGGGACAGCGCCCAGGCCCAGAGTTCAGGCCCCACGACCAGACCCCACCCCCCCCAAAAAAAAAGAAATGTACTCATTACCTTACTCATGTAATTGTAACCCCTCTGTACGGTATTTTCACATTAAAAAATATATATAAAAGAAAAATTTTTTAAAAGAAAAATTTTTTAAAAAGCTAAGAAAATGTGCCTGGGCCGAGTTCAAGTCCTATTACCAGCGTGTGTGTGTGTGTGTGTGTGTGTGTGTGTGTGTGTTTATGTGTGTGTGTGTGTGTTTATGTGTGTGTGTATGTGTGCATGTACACAATTCAGATAACTATTGTGTGGAAGGGAAACTGCTCATCAAACAAGCAAAACTTTCTTATAATTTTAAATGAAGCAGTCCTCAAACCCAGAGACCACCTGGCTTCCCCTTCAGTTCCAGGAATTAAGTAACTTTTCCAGAACTCCCTCAGGGACAAAGACTGAGATAAAGGCCAACCAGGCCACACCAGCGGCTCATGCTGTTTATGCATACCTTTCTCCCCACCTCGCCACCCCCATTCTCCTTATTTAACCTGACGTCACCTCTGAAGAGATACTGAAATGCTGTTTTTCCATGGCTGTTGTGTATAAATCTCCTTTACCTGCCCTTCACCATGTCCCCCTATTTGTCATAGGGGACATGTGGCTAGACTTAACTTGGAACTCCTGGATTTTGAGGAATTGTTTTCAACAGAACTGTAGAAACAAACAAAAATCTCAGTTGGGGGCTGGGAATGTGACCTAGTGGTAGAGTGCCTGCCTAGCATGCATGAAGCCCTGGGTTCGATTCCTCAGTACCATGTAAACAGAAAGGCTGGAATTGGTGGTGTGGCTCAAGTGGTAGAATGCTAGTCTTGAGCAAAAGAAGCTCAGGGACAGTGCCCAGGCCCTGAGTTCAAGCCCTAGGACTGGCAAAAAAAAAACAAAAAACCAACCAGTTGGCCAACACTTGGTGTACACTTGATTGTTTTCTGGCCCAGAGCTCCCAAACCCCAGTAATTTCCTGAGTGACTGGAGGGAGGGAACATCTTTTGTTAGAACTGGTCAAGTTATAAAGTCCCTAAAACCCTCAGAATTTCCAAGATGATTGAATTGTTTTGTTATTTCTAACAAGCCCTTCCCAGCACAGCAGAGTTTACGTAGATTCCGAGACTCACCCGGCCCTTGTATAGCCTGAGGGTAGGAGGTGGGCCCCAGGACTTAATTTAAGTTCCATAAGAATTCTAGAACAATAAGATCCGAGAGCTTTCAGGTCACCAAAAGGGTGGAGCAACCAAACGCCAACTAGACTGAAGCTTCTGCCCAGGCCCGCCCAGACTCCTAGAGCAAATCTGTAATGAATCCAAAGACATCAGTGGGGTGGTGTGGCCTACACTTCCCAGAGCCACTCTAGCTCATTATGCTAATGACAGAAATAGGCCTGGGGGTACTGCAGGGATCAAGTGGGGGCAGGTGGGGGTGTCAAGGGGAACCAAGCCAATTCACTTCAGTGATCAACACAAGTCTTGTGCTGTGTGTGTGTGTAAGTGTGTGTGGCAGGGTAAAGCAGGGTGGCCACCTATTCGCCATTCTGCGTCAGCTACCCCTCCAAACTCAGCAAAGCATATATTTATTATTTATTGGGACCAGAATTGAACCTTGAGTATTTTTTTGTTTTCTTTTTCTTTTTTTTAATAGGTTGTGGGGCTTGAACTCTGGGACTGGGCACTGTTCCTCAGCTCTTCAGCTCAAGGCGAGCGCTCTACCACTTGAGCCACAGCGCCACTTCTGGCTTTTTTCTTTTTGCTTATGTGGTGCTGAGGAATCGAACCCAGGGCCTTAGGCATGCAAGGCAAGGGCTCTATCACTGAGCCACCTTCCCAGCCCTGTGAGACTCTTATCTCTAATTAACCACCAGAAAAGTGGCCCTGTGGCTCCAAGTAGTAGAGCATTAGCCTTGAGCAAAAGAGCTCAGGGGACAGTGACAGGCCAGGAGTTCAAGCCCCATGACCGACAACAACAAAAATAAAAGAGGTTCGTCTGCCCTGTAGCTCCAAATCACAATCCTCAGATCTCAGCTTCCTAAAAAGCCAGGATTATAGGCTTGAGTTACTCATACCCAGGTTTTCTACTTCTTGATATAAAGTATGATTTGAATCACAAAGCCATTCTTAAATGACCCACTGAAAGTAACTACAGAGTTGAAGGTAGAGAACTTTTCCTAGCAAACCCAAGGTCTCGGGTTTTCACCCAAAGCATTGCAAACAAAAGAAAACAAAGTTTAGCGTGGTGGCACATTCTGTAAGCCCAGCAGTTGGCAGAGTCAGGAAGATCCAAAGTTCAAGACCAATGAGGGAAGGGGTGACATTGGCCAAAACGAAATGTACTCTTTACCTAACTTATGTAGCTAACCCCTCTGCACATCACAGAAAAGAAAGTTCAAGGCCAGCCTGAACTACACAGCAAGGTCTTAAAAAAAAAAAAAACCAGATATATCAAACCCCTGCTTGGAAAGGCAGTAATTGGTAGAGGATTTCCACGACACTGAGCAACTGCTGGGGCCAGCTCACCAGTGGGTAGAGCAGGGGTGTGAGTTCTCAGACATGAAAGTTACAGCCTCGTAGAAGATGCACTTTAAACTCTGCCATCCATACCTGAAGCAGTGTGGTAGCTCAAGCCTGGAATCCCAGTATTTCATAAAGAGAGGCAGAAGAAAACTAAATTTAGGGTCAGCCTAAGTTAAAAAGGAGCAATTGTCGCAAAAAAAAAAAAAAAAAAAGGAAGAAGAAGCAGCAGCAGCAGCCTGGTGCCAGGGGCTCACGCCTATAATCCTAGCTACTCAGGAGGCTGAGATCTGAGGATCCTGGTTCGAAGCCAGCCCAGGCAGGAAAGTCCCTGTGAGATTCTTAGCTCCAATTAACCACTCAAAAACTGGAAGTGGAGCCGGGCGCTGGTGGCTCACGCCTGTAATCCTAGCTACTCAGGAGGCTGAGATCTGAGGATTGCGGTTCAAAGCCAGCCCGGGCAGGAGAGACCGTGAGACTCCTATGTCCAATAAACCACCAGAAAACCGGAAGTGGCGCTGTAGCTCAAGTGGTAGAGCGCTCGCCTTGAGCTAAAGAGCTGAGGGACAGCGCCCAGGCCCAGAGTTCAAGCCCCACGACCGACAAAAAAAAAAAAAAAAAAAAACTGGAAGTGGTGCTGAAGCTCAAGTGGTAGAGCACTAGCCTTGAGTACAAAGAGCCTCAGGGACAGTGTCCAAGCCCTGAGTTCAAGCTCCACAATGGAAAAAAGAGAGAGGGGGTGGAGGGGGTGGGAGGGGAGAAAATTGAAAGAACTGAAGCTCCTGCCCTAAACCATTTGATTTTCTGAGTCCTTACAGAGCAACAGGAAAGTGATATGGTGATCTGTGATATGTATTATCTATGTTCAACTGTTACAACAGATCGTGAAGGATATTATGTTTAAGAATTTAAGCGAAGGGCTGGGAAGGTGGCTCAGTGGTAGAGTGCTTGCCTTGCATGCATGAGGCCCTGGGTTCGATTCCTCAGCACCACATAAGCAAAAAGAAAAAAAAAAAAAGCCGGAAGTGGCGCTGTGGCTCAGGTGGTAGAGCGCTAGCCTTGAGCTGAAGAGCTGAGGGACAGCGCCCAGGCCCAGAGTTCAGGCCCACAACTGGACCCAAAAAAAAAAAAAAAAAAAAGAATTTAAGTGGGTGCCAGAAGCTCATGCCTAGCTACTCAAAAGGCTGAAATCTGAGGATTTAGGCTCAAAGCTAGCCCAGGCAGGAAAAGTACCTGAGACTATCTCCTACTGAGACCACCAAAAAGCTAGAGGTGGTTATGGCTCAAGTATGGAGTGCCAGCCTTTCGTGAAAAAGGGACAGCTCTCAGCTCTTGAGTCTAAACCTCTCTAATAGCACAAAACAAAAAAAGCTATTTCCAGAATGTCATGTGAGAAACTGAGTATTACTATTATTATTTTGGTCATTTAGGTCTTTCAGTAGTAAAAGTTCTGCTTTTGTTTTTTGTGATGTGGCATCTTTTGGTCAATATAGAGTGCTACATACACTGCGCTGGTGGCTCACGCCTGTAATCCGAGCTACTCAGAAGGCTGAGATCTGAGGATCACGGTTCAAAACCAGTTGGGCCAGCAAAGTCAAGACTCTTACATTTAATTAGCCACTGAAAAACTGGAAGTGAAGGTGGAGATATACTGGGAGAGTGCTAACCTTGAGCAAAAACGAGAAAAAGCCCATGGGCAATGCCCAGGCCCTGAGTTCAAGTTCTAGGATGTGTGTATAAACATGCCCCTTGAGCCATTCCTCCACTTCCAGCTCTTTAGTGGTTAATTGGAGACAGAGCCTCAGTCATGTCTTTCTTGCCTGCGCTAGCTTTGACTATGATCCTCCGATCTCAGCCTCCTGAGTAGCTAGGATTACAGGCAAGAGTCACTGGCACCCACCAAGAGGGGCCTTTGTTATTGTTGTTGGTTGTGAGGCTTGAACTCAGGGCCTGGGCACTGTCCTTGAGCTTTTTTGCTCAAGGCTAGTGCTTTACCACTTTGAGGCACAGTGCCACTTCTAGTTTTCTGGTGGTTAATTGGAGATAAGAGTCTCATGGACTTGGGGCTGGGAAGGTGGCTCAGTGGTAGAGCGCTTGCCTTGCATGCATGAGGCCCTGGGTTCGATTCCTCAGCACCACATAAGAAAAAAGCCGGAAGTGGCGCTGTGGCTTAAGTGGTAGAGCGCTAGCCTTGAGCTGAAGAGCTGAGGGACAGCGCTCAGGCCCAGAGTTCAGGCCCCACAACCGGACCCAAAAAAAAAAAAAAAAAAAAGAGTCTCATGGACTTTACTGCCCAGGCTGGCTTTGAACTATGATTCTCAGATTTCAGCATTCTGAGTAACAGGTGTGAGCCACCAGCGCCTGGCTAAGAGGGTCTGAACAGGTAACTTTGGCACTAAGATCCTAAAGTTCAGTTTAATTCAGTTAAGCCTTTCTAATGTCTCAACAGTAAAGAAAAGCAGGCCTCGTTCTTTCTAAGCCCTGTACACCTCTTTCTACCCTTGCCTTCATTAATTACAACCCAAGGGTGTATTTTTTGTTTTGTTTTGTTTTGTCCTGTCCCTACTGGTGCCTCATACTCTCGCTTTTCTGTTTAAGCCTGGAACTCTTAACACTTGAGCTATACCTCCACTTCTGGCCTTTTGGTGGTTAATTGGAAATAAAGTGTCTCACTGACTTCCTGACTGGGCTGGCTTCAAATGGTAATCCTTAGATCTCAGATTTTTTTGTTTTTAATTGTAAAAATGTTGTACAGAGGGGTAACAGTTACATGAGTAGGGTAATGAAACATTTCACAGGGAGCATTGTTACCTCCTCCTTTATTTCCCCCCTAAAATCACTTCCCTCCCCACCTCCCCAACTTATCCCTCCCCTCCCCCCGACAGTGTAACATTCATTTTCAATATAGTGCCCTAGATCACAGCTTTCTGAGTAGCAATGATTACAGGCCCGAGCTACAAGGGTGCCCAAGCCCATGCATTTTCCAAGTTTCCCATTTTGGATATCTTCTTCCTACGAACTTTCCATCACTGCCTCCTACAGCAAGAAAAGCACTGGATCTAGTCCAAAGAAGAAGCCCTGTTCTCATCCTCAGACATGTCAAACCACAGTCACGCTTTTAGTGCCTTGAGCATGGTCAGCCCACTGATAACAAAGGAAACCCTGACACTGTGTCTATGACAAATACAAACTTCAAAGGAAAATAAAGGTTGTACAGACATGCAAAGCTTCAAGACAGTGGCCACCACCCATCACTCTCACAAAAATGAGATTGAGAATACAGACTATAAAATCAACTTTCATGTGTGTGTGTGTTCATTCTGAGACAGGGTCTCCATACGTAGCCTAGGGTGGCTTCAAACTTACAATCCACTGGCCTCCGCTTCCTGTAAGCTGGGCTCAGAGCTACACAAGACCTTGGGGGCTTCACATGGCCTTCCTGCTGTCACTTTTCCCACACAAGCCACAGAGCTGACATACGATGAGGCAGGCTTACCCGTGGAGTGGATCGTGAAGGCGAGGCTTTTGAGATGCCGAGTGGATCGGTATAGCTGGTTATAGCCTTGCTTTCTGGCTTTGCTGTGGTGACACTGGATGTAGCGCTCGAGGAACATGTGCAGAATCCACAGGATCACTTTCCCCAGGATTATGACCGTCTGAACTTTCAGTGGGTTTGTGTAATTTCCTGGGCACTTGTCATCATCATTTGGATGGTTGAGGGTACAAAGCACACCTGTTAAAAATGCTAAAGTCACGAACACAACCTGTCAGAAAAGAAAGCAGCAGGTTTAATGATCAATATGTAAAACTGGGGAAAAATAATCAGAAAACTCATACCTATGACTTATGCTAGCCTGTATATAAAACATATTATACAGATGTATAATATATATGGTATATGTAGTATATATGCAATATAAGTAATGTGTAATATAGAAATCTATTATATACTGTATTATATTTGGCAGTACTGGGGCTTGAACTCAGGACCTCACACTTGCAATGGCTTGCTTGCTCACCCAGCTGTCTTGAGCCATGTCTCCAGCCCAGATTACTGCTTGTTATTCCCAAGGGCTTTTCTGCTTCAGAAAAGTCTGGATCTCACACTCCTGAGTAGCTAGAATTCAGGCATGAGAAACCAGTTCCCAGCACTCTACCCTCTTTCTACTGTGCCAGTCTTAATGCTTCAATTCAGGGTCTGGGTGCTGTCCCTAAGCACTTTGCTCAAGGCTAGTGCTCTACCACCAGAGCTCCAACTCCACTTTTTGCTTTTTTTGTGTGGAGATAAGAGTTGCACAGACTTTGCCTGGGCTGGCTTCAAACCACTGCCACCAGGGCCTGGCAGTAGTCTCTTTTTATATGTGAGCTTAGATACCTTTTACCACTGTTAAAAAATCCACAACCCAGCGAGCTCTAGTGGATCACGCCTGTAATCCTAGCTACTCAGGAGGCTGAAATCTGAGGATCAGGGTTCAAGCCAGCCTGGGGAAGAAAGTCTGGGAGACTCTTATCTTCAATAAACCACCAAAAAACCAGAAGTAGTGCTGTGGCTCAAGTGGCAGAGCACTAGCCTGAGCTGAAGAGCTGAGAGGCAGCACCCAAGCCCAGAGTTCAAGCCCTACCACCACCACCACCACCAACAACAACAAAATCACAACTACACAGTAATCAACATGGGGGCCAGCAGTGCAGTTCAGCAGTAGTACATACTCCTACCATGCCTAGATCCCCGAAGGAAGGATTTTCTTAAAGTGGTAAAGGCCCTTTGTATATGTGCTAACCTCTCTGTATCTGCTCATCTGAATTTAGCAAAAGACACAGGGAGCTATAAAGAAAAGCTTAGCTGGCAGGGCATTCATGGCTGAGCTTCCAACCCTGAGAAGATTTACACAGAATGAGATAGTATACATGTCTGATCTATCAAGGTGATTTGTGGAGATTCAGGATTCATATTACCACAATGTGAAATGTTGAAAAGCTAACATATTCTCTACAATGGAAAGTGCACACTGAATCCAAAGAATTTTTTTGGGGGGGAGGGAGGGTTGTGGGGCTTGAACTCTGGGCCTGAGTGCTGTCCCTGAACTCTTCAGCTCAAGGCTAGCACTCTACCGCTTGAGCCACAGCGCCACTTCCAGTTTTCTGGTGGTAAATTGGAGATAAGAGTCTCAGGAGCCGGGCGCTGGTGGCTCACGCCTGTAATCCTAGCTACTCAGGAGGTTGAGATCTGAGGATCACGGTTCAAAGCCAGCCCGGGCAGGAGAGACCGTGAGACTCCTATCTCCAATAAACCACCAGAAAACCAGAAGTGGCGCTGTAGCTCAAGTGGTAGAGCACTCGCCTTGAGCTGAAGAGCTGAAGGACAGCGCCCAGGCCCAGAGTTCAAGCCCCACGGCCGACTAAAAAAAAAAGTCTCAGGGACTTTCCTGCCTGGGCTGGCTTGAACTGTGATCCTCAGATCTAAGCCTCCTGAGTAGCTAGGATTACGGGCGTGAGCCACTGGTACCAGCAAGGATCTATTTCTATAAAAAGTAGCATGTAAAAAGTGTTCTTTCTTGTACTGGGGACTGAGCTCATGTATGCTAGGTAAGCACTATGCCATTTGATCTATATTTCCCACCCTTTTATTTTCCTTTTATATTTTTTGAGACAGGATTTCACTTATATAGCCCAGCTTGGCTTTGAACACAAAGTCTTTTGACTCTGCTACATGTAGTTTTGACTAAAAGTGGTTAAACAAACAATAAATTAACTGAAATCCAAGGGGCGCTGGTGGCTCACGCCTGCAATCCTAGCTACTCAGAAGGCTGAGATCTGAGCATCTGGTCTGAAGCCAGCCCAAGAAGGAAAGTCCATAAGACTTTTTTTTTTTTTTTTGGGTGCATTCGTGGGACCTGAACTCTGGGCCTGGACACTGTCCCTCAGCTCTTCAGCTCAAGGCTAGCGCTCTACCACCTGAGCCACAGCGCCACTTCCGGCTTTTTTCTTTTTGCTTATGTGGTGCTGAGGAATTGAACCCAGGGCCTCAGGCATGCAAGGCAAGTGCTCTACCACTGAGCCACCTTCCCAGCCCCCCGTAAGACTTTTTATCTCTAACCACCAAGAAGCCAGAAGCAGGGTTGTGGAGCACCGGCCTTTGAGTGGAAAAGCTAAGGGACAGAATCTAGTTCCTGAGTTTAAGCTCCTATACTGGCACAAAAGAGAGAAGGGAGAGGCAGAGAGAGAGAGAAGAAAAAATGGAAGAGATACCCCAAAAGCAAGACAAAAGCAAGGATTCAAGTGAGAAAGCGAGATCCTGAGCTGTGTTGAAAGAAACCTTGAATGAAGGTTTGCCAGTGTTTCAGGAACATTAACCATGCATACATGTGCAAACATGTCTACAGTAAGTTTTCTGAATGAAGAGGTGTGGACAGAAAGCTCTGTACATTTCAAAACAAAGCCCACTGCCCTGTGAGGCGTTCAGATACTTTTACGAACCTCAGCCCTGCGGCTTCCCCTTCCCCAGCCAACTCACATGTAAAACCAAGAGAAGACTTGCTATGAGGACCGTGGGGACCGGATGGAACCTGGGTCTGAAGTGAGCCTGCAGGGAGTGCTGCGGGGGAAGCTGGGCACCCAGGAGGGGCTCGTCCTCCACACTCTGGATGATGTCCACGGAACCCTGAGGGCCAAGAAATTGCCACTATAGTCATTACTTTCTGAATCACGTTTCCAAGTACAAATCTACCAAACTATAAAGCTGCTATAACCACTGCAGCACATGCCTGCAACCCCAGCTCAACGGGGAGGTGATTCCCAAGATCACAATTGGAGGCCACCCAAGACAAAAAGTTAGCGAGGTCCCTTTCTCAACCAATAAGCTAGACTTCCTGGAAAACACCTGTACTTTTAAGTTACACAGGCAGGAAGACAGTGATCTAACGGCCATCCTGGGAAATACACAGGAACTCAGTAACTTTTTCTGGTGTGTGCTGGTACTGGGGCTTGAACTCTGTGGGCCTCACACTCTTGCTTGGCTTTTTCCAGGCTGGTGCCCTACCACTTGAACTGCACCTCCACTTCTGAAAACATAAAAGCTACTGTGAAAAATCACTAGAGCAAAAAAATTGCTGCAGTATGTGGCTCAAGTGATAAGAGCCACCCTGCCCAGCAAGCGAAGGTGCAGAGCTCAAACCCTAGTGTTGCCAAAACAAATAAGCAAGCCAAAAACAAAACAAAACACCCGGTGTGGTGGTGTCACCCTTACCAGCAATCCCCCTGCCTGAGGCAAACTTGGGCTATCTAGCAAGTTCCAGGCCAGTGTAGACTATATTGTAAAACGTGTTCCAAACAAAAACAACAAAGAGACTGGGGTATAGATTAGTGGCAGATGGTTTCCCAGAACAAACAAGGTCCTGGGTTCCACACTGAGAAAACAAAAACTAAAAACAAAACACTGTCCAACTTAAGGGCACAAAGCCAGTTTTAAGAAAATCCCCTTCTAGGGCTGGGAAGGTGGCTCACTGGCAGAGTGCTTGCCCTGCATGAAATGAGGCCCTGGGTTTGATACCTCAGCACCACATAAGCAGAAAAAGCTGAAGTGAGCGCTAGCCTTGAGCTGAAGAGCTGAGGGACAGCTCCCAGGCCCAGAGTTCAGGCCCCAAGACCAACAACAACAACAACAAAAAAAAAAAAAAAGGGAAAGAAAATCCCCTTCTAGGGTCTAGGGAGTGGAACTGTTGCTCAAAGTGATACAGCAATAGCTTTGAGCAAAAGAGCTCAAGGACAGCACCCAGGCCTTGAGTTCAAGCCACGTCATCGACAAAAAAAACTAAATAAAAAGAAATAAAAGGGGCTGGGAAGGTGGCTCAGTGGTAGAGCGCTTGCCTTGCATGCATGAGGCCCTGGGTTCGATTCCTCAGCACCACATAAGCAAAAAGAAAAAAGCCGGAAGGGGTGCTGTGGCTCAAGTGGTAGAGCACTAGCCTTGAGCTGAAGAGCTGAGGACAGTGCCCAGGCCCAGAGTTCAGGCCCCACATCCAGACCCCCCCCAAAAAAAAAGAAAAAAAGAAAATCTCCTTCTCTAAACAACTACCATATATAATATTGATAAACACAACAAGAATTAAAATGATTAGGAAAAAAATGCATTTTTGTTTCTGAGACAAGGTCTCACTGTGTAACCCAGACTGACTTCAAGCATACATTATCATTGTCCTGTCTTCACCTCTCCAGGACTGAGAATGCAGGTGTGCCCCACCCTATCGGGTGCAATTCTTTTTTTTTTTTTTTTTTGGGTCCGGTTGTGGAGCCTGAACTCTGGGCCTGGGCGCTGTCCTTCAGCTCTTCAGCTCAAGGCTAGCGCTCTACCACTTGAGCCACAGCGCCACTTCCGGCTTTTTTCGTTTTTGCTTATGTGGTGCTGAGGAATCGAACCCAGGGCCTCTGGCATGCAAGGCAAGCGCTCTACCACTGAGCCACCTTCCCAGCCCCTCGTGTGCAATTCTTTAAAAATACGACGGGGTATATACAGATAGAAAAAGAGGCTCCACAGTGCAACAAACTAACCCATCTACTGTCTCAGTTACTTAAAAGTTTTTAAATTTTGTGTGTGTGTGTGTGTGTGATAGAATGTGCGAGCCCGCGCGCGCACACACACAACTCTTGCATGCATGCTGGTCCTGGAGCTTGAACTCAGGGCCTGGGGTGCTGCCCTCCCTCTAACCCCCCAAGTCTACTGTTCTACCACTTGAACCACAGCTCCACTGTGGCTTGTTCGGTGGAGATGAGGCGCCAGGCCCAAAACTGCGATCCTCAGCTCTCGGCCTCTGGAGTAGCTGGGATGCCAGGTCTGAGCACCGGGCGCCCCGCAAGGAAGGAAGCACTGAACTCCCGTCACTCCAAGCACAAGAGTCTCACCCAGGACTGAGACCTTGCTTTGGGGGGGGGTCACTGTCAACTTCGCAGGTCTCGAGGGTAAGGACTTTGGAGGGGGTAGCGGTGGTGGCCCCCCTAAGCCCACCGCTGCCCAAACCCGGGCTTCCTCCAGCAGCCAAGACCCCCGTTATGCTGTCACTGCACGGTCTACATGCAAAATGGGTCACACACGCAGATCAGCATGTGCACGGAACCGGTCTCATCTGGACACGCCGCTCCGATCGCGGCTGTGGACGCCGGCGTCTGGCCCGCGCCCCGCCGGCCGCGAAGCCGGGGACCCCGAGACCCGGGGAGGAGAGGTTACCGGGCGGCACAGGCGTCACGTGAGCCTCCCACATCCGGGCGCCGCGACGCGCGTCGCACGTGCGCCGAGACCCACCCAACCTGCGTCCCCGGAAGCCCACCCGCCCTCTCCCGCGGAGGGCGCAGGCCCGAGCCCGCGGAGCCGGCCCCGGCCCGGCCGCCCGCGCTGGGAGCGGCCCCAGCGCCCCGCCCCGCGCGCCCCAGCGCCGGAAGAAGGGAATCCCGGGGACAGACGCACGCCGCGCCAGGACACTCACGTCCTCCATCCGACTTCCTGTCGCCATTTCCCGACGCCGGGCGATCGAGCCCCGGCCAGGCCCGGCCCGGCCTCCCCGCTGCGCCCGAGCACCGGGGGCCCCCGGAAAGTTGCCACCTTCGGAGACCCGCCCGCCCCGCGCCGGCCACGCCCGCCCGCGCCGGCCACGCCCACCGCGCCGCCGGCCACGCCCGCCCCGCGCCGGCCACGCCCACCGCGCCGCCGGTCACGCCCACCGCGCCGCCGGTCACGCCCACGCCCGGACGGGTGCCGCCCCCTCACTGCTGATTGGTCCAGGTGATGAGGGGCCGTGCGCCAGCGGATGACCTAGGCCTGGGGCTCCGCGGTTCCCGGGTGTGTGCGGGGCTGGGGCTCCCTCTTCCTGCGGCCGCCCCGGCGCTGCGAAGATGCCTTCCAGCAAGGGCTTGTTTTGCTTCTGTTTAAAGCATTAGCTTTGTTTTTTGTTCTTGTTTACGGGCAAAAGCTCGGTGTTTAGATGGATCCAGAAGTGAAAATGCTGCCCGGCACCAGAGGGACGGAGCTGCAGACCCCACTGTCGGTGACAGGTCTGCAGGCTTCCCCAGCGGGAACCCCACGGTGCAGCCTGGGTTTTAGGGTGCTTTGTGTGTGTGTTTGTTTTAAGCTCAGGCAGAGCCTCTAGAGAGATTTTTGAGGCCGTGTTGGGCCGTCTGACCCGAGACGGGTGCCAACAAACCAAAGCAACAAGGTTGCGTAAGGCTCCACGTGATCTTAGAGTCTCACCATCCTAATATTCTATGAATGATTTCTCAAGAACGCGAGTCCACAGGCGTCCCCCCTTAACCTTTGATCTTGAAATCTGTCAAGACTAAAGAAATGTCAAAAGACTAGTTACAACGAACTCCCCCTATCTCTTGCATTGATTTTCTGTAGATCTTATTACATTATTTCATATGATGCCACATTTGCTCTGTGTATAAGTGTCTATCAATATATATATTTTTTAAGAGATAGGGTTTCCCTGTGCTGGTCCAAGCTAAACTTTTGGATTCCTGGTTTCAAGGAATTCAGCCTCCTGAATAGCTGGAATCAAAGGCCTGTGACACTCTGCCCAACTCACAATTCTTTTTCTGTTGCGGTTTGTTTGTTTCACCCACCACAATGCTGTCAAAGTTCAAACACAGCATTTACATTTTCTTTTTTTTCTCTCTCTTTTTTTTTGTGCCGATTCTGGGGCTTGAACTCTGAGCCTAATTGCCGTCCCTGAGCTCTCTTGCTCAAGGTTAGCGCTCTACTACTTGAGCCACACAGCTCTACTTCTGGCTTTGGGGCATTTAATTGGAGATAGAGTCTCAGACTTTCCTGCCCCAGCTGCCTTTGAACCTTTTGAAATGTTGATCTTCAAATCTCAGCCTCCTGAGTCGGTAGGATTATAGGTGTGAACCATTGGTCCCCAGTCACTGCATTTAATTTTGCCAAGACATATATTTTAATACATGTATACATTGTTTTATATCTATCTATCTATATGGACAGAGAGGGAGGGAGAAAGAGAGAGAGAGAGAGAGAGAGAGAGAGAGAGAGAGAGAGAGAGAGAGAGAGAGAGAAATCTCCTTACATGAGATGGGCACACACAGAAGGAACTATTGAAATTCTGGCTTCCTTCCTTCTCCCTCCCCTCCCTCTCCCACTTCTATGATAAACTGCTGGGAAGGAGGGGCCAGGTGCACCCAGTTCTCTTTGTGGGCACGCAGCACTGCACTGTGTGTAATTAAGTATTTAATAAATGCTTTTTGATTAAGTTCAGCAGGATCACAGCAGGTGAAAAGCACTCCGCTCAATCTCTCTGATGAGATGATTTTCTTTGGCAGAGGCCCAGGTGGCACCAGTGCTAAATCCACTGTGATGTTTTGGCAAATCACCTAATCATACCTCAATTCATTTCTCCCCAAGATGGAGAGACAATTCTCATCCCTCTGCTTATGAGTTACAACAGGCCTCATAATGCTGCTTCCATGCTTTTTGACAGTTAGATGCCTGGAATTTGAAGGCCTATCCTTTGGTCAGTAATAGAGTTCTGGATCTAGAAGCAAGAAGGTCAAGAAACCAACAGCTTCTTAGAAGTGATCTGTGATTCCTCGCCGTGAGTTGGCTGTGAAGATGAAGACAAGGATTCCAGGAACCCACTTTTCATTTTATTATTTTTGTGCTGCCACTAGGGCTTGAACTCAGTGCCTGTGTACTGTCCCTAAGCTTTTTCACTCAAGGCTGAAAGTCTACTACTTGAACTACACTTCCAGCTTTCTGATGGTTAAATGGTAGATAAGAATCTCAGAATCCTGCCTGGGCTGGCTTTCAACTGCTATCCTCAGATCTCAGCCTCCTGAGTAGCTAGGATCAGAGGTGTGAGCTACTGGTACCCAGCCATCTTTTTTTCTTAGGATCAGAGAAAATAGATTTATTAACATGGAAAGAGGCAAAGTGAGCACTTCTTAACTTTAGACTCATATGGATGAATTGGGGCGGAGGCTAGAGAGGTGCACGTAATCACTCGACAATGCCAGCGCCAGGTGTGGCCTTGGTGATTCTTAGAGTCTCAGTTCTCTTTGGACTCAGGAAGCCCACAGGAAAAGATGCTAGGCAAGGTGGGAATGGATGGTCAGTCATGATTTTATGATTCAAAAGCCCTCCTGCTCAGAGGCTCAGTAGCAGCCACACCCCAGAGCATAACACACACTGTTCACTGCTCACCCCGGCACAGATTCCCAGGGTGTCCATAGGCACCAGCTTCGTTCTGTGCAAAGGGTCACATATTCTCTTGTGGGGCCTGCTTGTACCCTTCCTTGCTATACACAAAAGTGGCATCTGGCCAAGGGTAGCCACACAGGCCATGTGTGTTCGGCCAGGCTCAAGGCTACAGGCTGTGGAACAAGACTCAAGGTCACCCCGGCATGTGGAACCTGCTGAATACCAGTACTTGGGAAATGCAAGCCCTGAGCCCTCCTAGATTAGAGCCAGGGAAACCCCTTCTTTCAGAGAACTTAGGGACTGAAGTAAGTTGTTGGTTCTTTTTAGCCAAAGCAGTTACTCTAAGTGCCTGATCATTGACAAGTATGAATGAAGTCGCATGAAAGCGACTTTTAGAGTCGTCTTATACGTGAAACGTAGACCTTACACACATGCCCTAAATGCTTTCTTTATAGGAGCTCTTTAACTAGTTTTAACTAGCCCCAAAGTGTTGCCACCACAAAGTAGGATAGAATAGGACTCTGACAGTGGTCCTTACCTACTTCACTGCCCCAGCTTACTGCTCGAAAAGAAGCAAGAACACGAGGTCCCAAGTTCAAGCCCCACTACTGGCACAATGACATAAATAAATAAATAAATGAGTTTATATAACGCCAGATGCCGGTGGCTCATGCTTATAATCCTAGCTATTCGGGAGGCTGAGATCTGACCATCCCAATCTGAAGCCAGCTGAAGCAGAAAAGTCCATGAGCCTGATCTCCAATTAACCAACAAAAAGCCCCAAATGGAAGTGTGGCCTCAATGATAGAGTTTCAGCCTCGAGCAGCAAAAGGCCAAGTGAGAGTTTGCGGCCCCCACTAGCTACACAATCCATCCACCCACCCATCAATCAATGAAAGTCAAGGTTGAGGGCTGTAGCTTGGTGGTAGAGCACTTGTCTAGCAGGTGCAAGGGCTCCAGTCTCCAGCATCTCAAGCCAGGGAGGGAAGAAGAAAATGAAAGAAACTTAAAATCTGCCCACACAGTGAGACAGTCAGATGCCCTGCGGTCCTGGAGAAAGTGAAGGCTTTGGGTACGCGTGGCCGGGGAACCCCCATGGCAGGAATCGACCTGTTAGCTTCGGTCCTCTAGCTCTGATCTTCACTTTTTCTACAAGAAACCAGACATCTGTGGACTCCATAGTTTCCCCAGGCCTGAGGGAAAGAGTGTTGGGCCTTTGTTCTACTGGCTCAGCCCTTTCCCTCTCCTCCACTTGTCTTCTTCCTTCTTGGAAACAAAGGAAGTGTTCCTTCTCGCAGGAAGAATAAGGGTTTAGCGTGTTGTTGCTTGAGCAGGCTCTGGACACTCTGTGCCCTTCTCAAAAGGAAGTGAATGGCCAACCTCAGCCTATCCAAACTGATGAATTCCCAATTTGTCCAGACCACACCTGCCTTCAGAGGTGCAGTTCTTAAGTTGGCCACGAGGTGACGCCGTTCTTCTGTTAGTTACATGGAAGCTGCCTAGTCTTTTTTTTTTTTTTTTTTTTTTTCTCTCATCAAATGAAATAAATATTTAGTGCTTCTGGCTAGGTGCTTGGAGACAAATGTTCATGTTCCCTTCTAGTGATATGTTTCAAAAAAGGTCTTTTAGTGAATACCAAAGAAGGGAGACGAGCTATTATTTGAATAGCACTCAGGATGTGAGGCCTTATGCCAGGAGGCTGACATATACCTAAATACCCAGACAGCATTTTCATAAGATTTCAGAAGTGCGGTGTCATCCAGTACAATGGAGTTCCTTCTCTTGGTGAGGACAAAGCCATCAGGCACAACCAGAAGGTGAAATAATGGAGAAAGTTTTATTACCTGCAGCAGGTAAGAACACAAGAGTTATTTCCAAAACGAAGTGTGTAGATCTCATTTAGGGGGTCCATACATATTCCTATAGGAAAACCCTTGAAGGGCAACTTAATTCCCCTGTTTAAGATGTACATGACTGGGCATGCTCAGTTCAAGGCCATCGTTCAAGAAAGGAAAATAGAGTGGAGATGAGTCCAGGGCACACTTAGTTTAAGGTATTAGAGGAAAGTTTTAAAGGTTAAAATGGAAGATGGTAATACTTCTGGACAAGCTCAGCTCCACCTTGTTTTCCCCTCTCCCTTCCCTCCTTTCCCCAAAATAAAGGTTTTGGCTGAAATGGAAGGAAAGGAGTCTTTGAAGATACATTACTCTGGCTCTAAGGCTGCCTGCCTCACTTAACTCTGAACAATGTAGTCCTAGGTGCTTAGCAGGCAGGCAGATGGCTTTGTTACCTGAAGGTCAGCATATGATTGTTGTACTCAATGGAAGATTTCAGGCAAGACGAGAGAGAGAGAGAGAGAGAGACAAACCCAATAACCACCCTGGCACCAGAGTCAGGTGCATCTTCAGGAGCAGCCGACAGGGA